AAATATATAAAAATATTTTATATAATATCTTGGTAATATAGTATAAAAATACACTATAATTGTATATAATGTGTATGCATGCTATACGGGCATCTTTCTCACTAATTTAATAGTAATTCCATCCAGAAGCAAAGTTCAGGGCATGTTAGCAAGTGTAAAGGTGATTTAAAGTTGATTATAAAACATTTGAAATACAGACTTTTAAAAACTCTAGGGTTTGAATTTTTTTTCCCCCCACATTTCTCATTAGCCATATAGAAAGCACCGCATAAGGAACTGAATGTGTCTAGCACATTTTTAAATTACGTGATACAAAAATCAGCCTTACAAAGAGAAATATGTTTTCCTCAATTAAGCATTTTCTTGTATAGTTACTTTTTTAAAAAAAATTGTCCATATTCAAGAGCAAGTTATAAAAATAAATAAATAAATATCGATGCATCTGTGTTTTTAATTTTACCCTAAATTAACAGTGGGAATTGTAGTTAGCTCCTAACTGTCACCCTTACTAACACCTTAAAGGAAAGCAGGATAGCTATTAATTTCTGCCTCTTATTGACTAGATTAACTACGGTCTGGCTCAACTAAATGCAGTTATTCATCTTGCTCAAGGATGGGAACATACCAGAGACTTTAGGATAAGGGACATATAGACAAGAGCCTGTTTGCATAGTTTATTTCACAAATACAGATCGCAGTGCAAGTTGCTTTAGTATTTTTTTTTTTAAACGATATTTTTAATAATGTAATAATTTCACAGCAGGCCGTGATGGAGCATTACTGCAATCGTTGTCCCTGAGCTCTGCTACCGCCCCTCTGTGCAGGGCCAGGTGAGTTCCAAGATGTAATTAAAGGAGACTCAAGGATGATCTCTGCTCCGTCTGGAGCAAGTCCTTCTTAAATCACGAGCTGGAGAAGCGCGGCACCACCGTGGCTCGCCTCTCCCTGAACAACCTGAGTAACAGGAGTGCGTCCTCCGACGGGGTGTAGGGGGATTCTGAGCAGCTCCCTTTCCTAAATTTAAAGACAGAACTTCAGCACAAGCTGATTTGTACTAACTTGGACCTGGCCACATATTTTAAGCATGAAAAATAATGCAACATATGTATTTCTATCACTTCATGCATTCTTTTCCCATTATTCACTTGATTCTGGCAGTTACTTACTAGCATGCTGCAAGGGCCAAGTTTGCTCAGACACTGCCTTTATGCTTATTGCCATTTCTAAAATTTATTATTATCATAAGTTTTCTGTAATGATTTAGAAAAAAAACCCATATGAAACCAGATTGTATAGTGAATTTGATCTTTTTGTGCAGTTTTTGGCCTAAGCTTTGTGGGGCAGCCTGAGAAGGAATCAAAACAATTTGGGGTTTGGTTTGGGGTTTTTGTACCTATCTAAAGCAAAACACATACCATAGGTTTTTTGTTTTTTTTAGTTCCAGGTATTACTTGAAAAACTTTAATTTTTTTTTGAAACCTGCACCGTGTTTAGTTACCTTTAGAAACTATGCCATATAGAGCTTTAAATATGCCAGTATACAACTAAGCTCTGTAGTTGGCCAGCAGAGAAACGAATATACAACCACCCACACGACGTGATTTGCGGCTGTTCACACATGGGCAGTATTGCTCTTCAAAGCTTTGTCAAAATACTTCTCTCCACAAAATTAAACAAAATTTCTAAGGTTTACATTGAAGAATACATTTCCACCATTTTTATTAAACCAGAAAAGATTAAACTGTAAGAACTGACTTAAAGCCGTGCTACAGAAATAAACACTTAGAAATCCCCAAGGCCGTTCCCGTGAAACCCTGGCATTAATTTAGCCACGCGGTTGTAGCGATTCCAGCGCCACCTTCTTACAGAAATACACTATACGTACGACCCAAACAGGGCTCCTGCTGCAGCCACCATCCTGCGAGCTGCACCGCTCTGACTTCCCTTTCTGACCAGTTCTGAAATCTAGGTTTGAGGCATGCCCCATGTAACAAAATCATTGCGCTCGTATTTTCAAAAACTTCTACAACGTAGACAGAGTGAGGAATTCTCTCTGAGAGATTTGCAGACGCTCCTTGGCCTCCTGAGTCTCCTGTTTAAGCAATTTGCAATTTCAGGACCACATTTTATTAACGCCCACATTTCTTTCACTCCCATCTGCTACTGTTATTCATCAAATGCTATGCTTTCTGGGGTAGAAATCATCGCCTTGCATCATGCACGTTGCACCTAGGCAACACGGCCCAAATGGGCGAAGCCTGAACTTCGTCCTGATGAGTCTCACAGGTTTGCTCCGTTCTGCAAAAGAAATTTTACCAATGAACTTCGTAAAAACAGCAAAAGCAATGCTGGCTGTTACTCAGGGGTAGGCTGCTGGGTTAATAAATCATAATCACTGACCAGTCTAACAGCAAGAAGTGTCTATTATCTTTACTGTGAATGATGAATGAACATAAGATAAATTGCCCCTCATCCTGGTATAAAATTTTCATTCCAGAGATCGGGTATGTTACTTGACAGCAAACATTTATATAGAAACCCCACCTTTCTTTCACTGCTGTTAAAGGAACATGAAAGAAAGTTCTGTTCTGTGTAGAACTGTGCCGTTCAAAAGCATGGTGTAGTTCTACAGAGCATAGAAATGTCTCAATGACATTATGGAAATAATCCGTATTAAATATTCCCTGCACAAGTAGTACCTTTACTAACACTCTTACTCAGGCCCCTGGGCTTTCAGCCAACAAGCTCAAAATTCAGATTACTCTGATACTCCCAAAGTCCTTTGGCAGCCAAATAGTTGCAATTTCCCAATAATCTTCTTAACCAAAGAACCAAAAATGATGAGAATTGACCTTCTTTAATCACTGCCCGGCCTTAGTTTACTACATCTTTGAAACATCTTTCCAGATGTATGCAACAAATCTAGAATTTGAGTTTAAAAATGATTATAAAGCCTGAAATACGGTTCTCTGAAGCAGTAATCATGGAATAGAATCTTAGAACACCTTGAGTTGGAAGGGACCCACTGAGTCCAACTCCCATGACATTTCAAATGGTTGCGTTACATATACTATGTAATACATAACACGGCCGGGCGTTAGACTCCATCTGGAGCAGTAAGGAAACTAGCCTGATAAAAGCCATAAAGGAGCATTACTGTCAGTTAAGAACCCCCCCACACACACTTTTTAAATAGTTTCATTCCAGCCTGTAGAGCTTCCATTTGGTTTTCAGAATTTTTTTTTCCTAATTTTTTTTTCAGAAACCATAAATCCGTAAGTTTATCCCATTGCTTCTAAGATCTTCCATCTTCTTCTCCATCCCTATGAGCTCCTCTGCAACATCTTCCAAGCGTGTCCTGAATCTGCTCATCCTCCACCACCATCAAACCTAAAACTCAGCATCTAAAACATTGCAGAGGTATTCTATGCCTTCTGATTGCTTTTCGGTGACCTCCAAAGTCCTGTCATGTTATACACCCATCTAGTTTTAAATGTATTTATTTTGTTAATAACTTTTATTAATCTACAGTTGTTTGCTTGACATGTGCCTGTACCTAATGCATGGCCTGTTTGAGGCTGACACTTACTTTCAAAGCGGATGGTATATTAAAGACCCACCCAGTTTAGGCAGGTAGCAGCTTTTTTCCCACAGAGCAGCTGTTATGATATATGTTTGAAAATATTTTACATGCCTCTGTATCACACTCTTTTCCCTTTGCTCTTTCACAGAGGTGGGAATACAGTGAAGTAGATAGACGGAGGCTATGGAAAAGCCCATTTCAGTTCAGAACAAACTAATACACAAAAAACCCTCGGCAAAGACTTGCCCTAATTCATCCACAGCGAAAATATGTTGCTTGCAGCTACAGCGCTCATGGAAAGCACAATGAACAGAAACAATCCGCACAACACAATAACAGCTTGAGTGCGCCGTGATGGATGGTTTGCATGCATGCATGACGTGAAACATTCTCAAGGCAAAAAAAAGAGAAAAAGAAAGAGAAAA